TGTGGGTGAGCTGCCTAACCCTGAGCTCTCCTATGGCCTTGCAGTGCTCAACTTGCTCCAAGTGCTTTCTGTCTCGGACAGAGCTGCGCCTGCATGAGGCATTCAAGCACCGGGGAGAGAAACTGTTTGTCTGCGAGGAGTGTGGACACAGAGCCTCAAGTCGCAACGGCTTGCAGATGCACATCAAGGCCAAGCACAGGTGTGACGTGAGCTCTTCCCTCCTCTGTGTCACAAGTGAGCTCCTCCCCAGGCTCCTGGGGGGTGGGTGCCAGGGAGCCTCCTGAAGCCTGTGGGGTGACTGATGGTGACAACTGCAGGTTGCTGGTATTGACAGCTGTTGGTAGTTGGCCAAACCTTAGTTCTGCTTGCCTCTCTACCAAAGGAAATTTGTACTGTTTGCATTTCCTCTAAAGATAATAATGCAGGTGATGGCTGAAGCTCATCAGCTGTCCTGCCTGGCTAATTCCTGTCTGTGAAGTGGTGAGTTTGTGTTAGCTTTCCACACTTCCCTCAGAGCTCTGGTTCCTGGGCTGGTTGTACGGTGCCCGAGGGGCAGGAAGCACCAGCTCTGCACTTCAGAAGCATATGGGTGCAGAGGAGAATTTGTGTCCCTGCAAAATACTTTAGTTTGAGATAAGTTGAAGTAGGATTTAATTGCAGTGCTTTGAGAGTTGCAACAGCAAGTGTCAGACAGACAGAGAGGCAGGTGGCAGTTCTCCAACTGGGGCTGCCTGAGGCTCAGCTGCCTTTCCCCTGCTCTCAGGAACGAGCGTCCCTACGTCTGTGAGTTCTGCCATCACGCCTTCACACAGAAAGCAAACCTCAACATGCACCTGCGTACCCACACCGGTGAGAAGCCCTTCCAGTGCCACCTCTGCGGCAAGACCTTCAGGACACAAGGTACCCCCAGGGCACACAGCTCTGCGTGCCTGCAGCCCCCCTCTCCTATCCCAAGTGGCCACCTGGGAGCTGGTAGTGCTGAGCGCCCTGCTCCCCCCATGGGTATTTGCCACCTCTGAAACAGCCGTGCTGAGAAACCTGTTTTCCTTCTAGAGCAAGGCATGCTCTGGTGTATGTAGGATAACACCTCACGAGGGAAAACTGCCTTTTTTTTTTTTTTTTTAACTTCCATAACACAAAAAGAGGAAAACAGTGGTGAATTTTTCACATCTATGGTTAGCTCAGCGCAACAAGCTCCTGCTTTTGCCCCGCTCCAAGCATTCCTAACCTGCCTGGCACAGAGCACGTGGTCTCACCATCGTAGCACAGTGTGCCTGTGCCCAAACCGGGGCACCCAGCGGGCTGCTGACCTGCAGCTCTCTCTCCCTTTGCTCCCGGCAGCGAGTCTGGACAAACACAACCGGACCCACACCGGGGAGCGCCCCTTCAGCTGCGAGTTCTGCGACCAGAGATTCACAGAGAAGGGGCCCCTCCTGAGGCACATCGCCAGTCGGCACCAGGAGGGGAGGCCCCACTTCTGCCAGATCTGTGGGAAAACATTCAAAGGTACCTTCTGCCTGCCGCTGTGGCTTTGGGCCACCGTTCCAGGCTGCGCTCCTTTCCATGCCTCGACGGCCCTTCTGCCGTAGTGCTTCACACAGCGTGGGCCTGCAGCTGTTCTGCCTGCAGGGCTGCTCTGAACTCCTTCCTTTCCTTCTCAGCTGTCGAGCAGCTGCGTGTCCACGTCCGCAGGCACAAGGGAGTGAGGAAGTTTGAGTGCACCGAGTGTGGGTACAAGTTCACACGGCAGGTAGGACGCAGCTCGGTGCTGGGCCGTGAGTGACTCGCGCCGCCTGCCTGCTGGGGGCACAGAACCCCGGGTTGCTCTGCTGCAGTGAGTGACACCAGCAGACTGCCAGGCTGTGAACGGGTTTCTTTGCACTGGGTGTTCTGAGGGCTGTAGGCAGTACGGGCAGCCTGCCCTTACAAGCTGGTGCTCTGTGGGTCAGGGGAGCCTTGCTGTGCTTTTGCCGGCCCTCCCTTTCGGAGAAGCACGGCACACCAGGCAAACCCTTCCTGCTTTCTCCCTCTCGCAGGCACACTTGAGGCGCCACATGGAGATTCACGACCGGGTGGAAAACTACAACCCCCGGCAGCGGAAGCTTCGAAATCTGATCATTGAGGATGAGAAGGCGGTGGTGGTGGCCCTGCAGCCACCCCAGGAGCTGGAGGTGGGCTCAGCTGAGGTCATCGTGGAGTCCCTGTCCCACGGCCCCCTGCCTGAGGAGATCCCTGTGCAGAGACTCTGTTCAAACGACAGCTTCCCCACGGCAGACGTGATGGAGCAGTCGCTGATCATCACAACAATTCCCGATGACTGTGAGGCCACGTGACTGCAGCCGTACCTTCCTACCAAACAAAGCATCGGGCCTGAGTCACTGCTGCATTGGTTCTCTTCAGCCTCCGGGAGCTCTAAGTTGTATATCCAGCCCTCCTCCCTCCTCCTTCAAGGTAATGATCCCAACCCTGGATTGCAAAGAACGTTTCTAATGAAGTGATAATCAGGAATCAAATTAAGAAATATGAAGCCACTCAGAACAACTACTTAAGTAAATGTACATACAGTGTATGAGACGAGATGTGATTGATGACTCCATATGTGTAATACTGTGGATTGTTTTTAACAAGCTCTCAGCTGTGGCTGGAAGGGAAGGCTAGCTCACCTGTAGCTCCAGTGCTAGCTCCTACCTTGCTCCATTAGTTTTATGCTGATGATTCAAGCTCTTCCAGAGGAGTGTGACGCTGTCCCTTTCCTTAAACACATGATGAAACGACCCTTTCCTCAATTAAATCTATGCCTTGTGGTTTCGTTAAGCTTCTGCTGCCCATTCCTGTTTCTTTTCTACATTAAAGGCATGGTGTGTCCTCTTACCTTCTCCCCCACTGAACTCATTTAGCTGTTACTCAGCTTGAAAGACAGGAGCACAGCCATCCCCTAAGCTCCTGTTGTCAGAAGTGGGGAGTTGAAGTTGAAATATTTGAAATAACAGGATCCAGGGAAGCATCACACATCAGACTGGGTGCACACATCACACCCACAACCCTTTTCCTTCTAGCACTCACCTGGAAGGCAGCCCTCTGGGTTAAATGCAGCTCAGGCCTGGAATGAGAAACGTCAGTGAAAGCTTAATTGTGGTGATTTTCGCATCAAAAGGAATGCAGACGTAATGTAACATCTTTTATTTAACTTGACCGTTGCAAGTAAACTTAAAAACAAACTATGAGAATAAAAATACATCATCTGTAAATGTAAAATGCCTTTGTTTCAAAGGATGGTATTCAAACAGGACGCAAAGATTTGGACACAATGGATTTTACAAAAAATAAATACAGCTCCTAACAGTCGGACCGGTTGGGAATTTGCGGGTGGCAGATGCAGCAGTGAGCACTGCAGAGTGAGGTGTGGTGCATGGGGGACGCTTGGAGCTCAGCACTGTACATCGTGTGCAGCTCAGCACAGCGGGGCGCAGGGCTGCTCCTGGCAGCACAGCTTGCACTGCGTGCACCCACGGCAGCAGGGCGCTGAGCCACGAGGCCCCACTGCGTCCCAGCCGCGCTTCCTCTGTGCACGGCGGCTTCAAGCTTCCAACCTCGAGCACAGCCCAGCCTGATGAACAGCTTTCTCACGGTTAAGTGGACCAGCATAAAACAGCATCCAAGGCAAAACGGGTATTTTAAAGCTGTGAACACATCGATTTCATGGAGACAGTTCTGATGTCTCAATGCGGTGGCAAGCCAGAGGGTACAGAGGAGCTTTCCATTTCTGAGTCAAGCTCAAATTCACTTTTTACCCCTTGGTTAAAAACCAGAATGAAAAAGAAAACCAATCCAGCCACCATTTCAGCCACTGTTACAGTTCACTTTTCCTGAAGGCGCAGTGCTCATTCTCAGATGAGCCATTGTAACTGTTTGCTTGTTTAAGAAACATTCCACAAGTCAACTGCAAGCAGCTTTTCTTCAGCTGAAGGTATACAGAGGAAATACAATTCAAGCTAGCTAGGTCACTTGAGCAAGTATAAAGGCATATCTTACACAGACCAAAACAACAATGAAAGAAAACCCTAAATAGCTACCTTGCACTCTGCAGCACTCTCACTACCTCCTACAACTCAGCCAAATGATGCCAGCAGCATTTTCCAATTACTCCAAGTCCAAGAGCCTCTGCAAACTGAAGACGAGACAGGCACAAGGACTCTCCAGAGGTTCAGTAGGTTCCTTCACACCAGTTAATGCATTTCTGCATCATGGTGTCTAAACACCACTAGCTTATTTTTTCCACAAGTCTGCAGCAAATCTAAGGAAGCTGTGCTTACCTTTCCAGATAAGCCTTCTAAAAGTGTACAACTTCCACCCAGTTCCTTTACAGCAACAGACAAGAGCGTGCCCTTGCTGCACAGGGCCTATCTGCCTGACCCTGCACACGTGCCAAGAGCTTGATGTAAAAGGATTGTCAGCAAAGAGCCCTGGTCAGAAGAACGAGCTGCCCAGGCGTGTTCTACAAGGCGAGCAGCCTGACACCAGCAAGCTCTGTCAAAATGGGAAAGCAGAAAGGCTCCTCCCTGAGGGCCCCGGCGCTCCACAAGCCAGCCAAGGCAGGCACTTTTCTCTTTCCCTTTAAGGAACGGTGCGGGTGATCAGAAATGAAGGCAACCTAGTTGTGAGAAAGTGATTAAAAAATAAATAAAGGTGTTTCTTATTAGGAAAAACAAAAGTGCCATTCTAAGAAGGGTAGGAAAACAAATACCTGCAAAAGTTTAAATGCCACAACTTAAAGAACAGCAAAACACACAAAGAACTGAAGTTCAGACAAAAGGAAAGGTCAAGCTTCACAACCCAGCCCCTCGGAGATCCCTGCTGCGCAGACACGTGTTCTTCCAGAAGGCAGTGAACAAAGCCAGGACTGCGGTGACACGACGGACGAAGGGCTGCAGCCTCACAGCAGCCTCTCATTCAGCTTCTTATAGAGACATCTCTTCCCCTCTAACTGCACAGAGGAAGAGATCCAAGAGGCCTGCCTTCCTCTAAAGCATACAGCAGAGGAGGGGAGTCCAGACCCCAGTCCTACCGAGCAGAACCCTCCTCCTGAGGGCTTTGGTCCTGCCTGTTTTCCTTCTGCTCCTTTTCTTTTTTCCCATCGGAAGAGACTGAAGAAAGGAATTAGGTGACAAACAAAGCGTTGCAAAGTGAAGGAGCTCCAGGTGAAGGGTGTCTGCCCGAAAGCTGTAAGCTGTGGTGCTTCACACAGCCATTTTCTGCAGAGTTCACTTCTCAGACCTTCTCTGTGAGTAGCACTGCACCTTCGGCCTCCAAAGAAAAGGGCTGAGGAACGCTGCACCCAAAGGCCTCGTGTTCTGCCAGCTAGGTTTCTACAACAGCATTTCAAACACTCCATTTTTACTCCCTGTACTAATCAGTACCTTTTTGCTTCCAGGCTCCAGTTTGCCTCTGCCTTCTCTCAGAGCAACACCGGCTGTGGGCAACGAACTCGCATTGAGGCAGGGACGGCACGCTGCCCCGCTAACGCAGCTCATTCAGGTTCTGGTGGTGAAGGTTCGGGCGCTGCCTGTTCAGGGTGATGGTGTTGTCCAGCGTGATGCTGTCATCCTCCTGTGTGGTTTCTGGCATGAACTGTCGGAAAATGCTGACGCTGCCGTGCCAGAAGATGGGCTCGGGGAGCCGCCCTGCTACGCTCCACGTTCGTGTCTCGGGGTCGTAAGCTTCCAGGACATCCGAGAGCTCAAAGGTGTTGTCGTAGCCGCCGGAGACGTAGAGCTTCCCTCCCAGCACAGCCACACTGCCCCCAACGTGGACCTACAAAGTAAGATTAAATAAGCAGCACGGTTAGAAGGGCAGGTATTGCCCAACCAGGGAGGTCTCCTGCCCACTTGGACACGTCGGCAGCTGCTGCCCCCTGCGTGGCACTGAAGCTGCTGCTGCCCCCGCGGCCACGCGTGCCCTGCTGCACTGCCAGCACCTCTCATCATGTCCAGGTAACCGTGATACATCTGAATGCATTCTGTGCTCAAGGGCTATCATCTAACCAGAACACTGCTTTCCAAAGGTAATTTAACCCCATTATGAGCACAGATAAGCATCCAGCAGGGTGGTGAGCATCCTACCTGAAGCATGGCAGGGATTTTATCCCATTCGTTCTTCACTGGATTGTAAACATCCACTTCAGCTGAGTCATCCCTGCAGGAGATAACACAAAATTACTTTTCTGTGTTGTCAAAACCTTCCTCCTTGTGAAGCCCACATCTGAACAGCCTGAGCCATGGCCTGCAACGCACCTTTCCTGGAGCACCTTTCCTCCAGCCCTGCCACATAAATTGAAGACCAGAGGGCTGCTGTATGAAGGCTCCGGTCTCAAAGCAAAGCCTAGTCTCCAGCATGGACTTCTCAGATAGCAGCAGTAAAGTTCAACCCCAGGAAACCCCTAGAACTCCGTGCTGCACCTCTACACACAAAACATGCCAGCAGAGACAACACTCAAGTAGCACTGCCCTAATTCTCAGTGCTGGTAACCTACACTTAAAGAGCCCAAATGGCCCTTCTCAGCTTCTCCCTGGGCAAAGCAACGCTTTATGCACTTCCTGATGTACACTGAGCCAGTGGACACCACCTAGGAGGTACAAAAGACAACATGGAGGCAATCCTCAGGGCTTTCTCAAACCCAGATTGTTTTCAGTTTGCATATATGGTAGGCGTGTTCACAGACTAACATTTGTCAGCCTGTATTTTATTGGCTTCGGTGCCAAACACTTAAGAGTCTCAAAGAAAAATCAGCACTGTTCTGAAGAGACTTAAACCTCTGTGCATTTAGAAGCAATGAGATCCCTACTGCTGGAGTTTTTTGCCACGCCAAATTTAGATAGGCCAGAGAACTGTAACAGAAGAGCTGGCAGGCAGCACAATCCCCCAAGGCTTCTTACAGCCACTCACCACTGAGACGCGACAGCAACAGGTGAGAGATGTTTGTAAGGCAGAAATGCTCATTGCTGACACAAGAATGCAAGAAGGACAAGGTCAGGGCAGACAGAAAAGCACTGCCAGTCAGCCCAAGACAGTTCAGTTACAACAGACTTCACAGGCTATGGCAAAGAAGAAAATCTCCTTTTATTCTTCAATGGCTGATCAATCTGAATTTCCTTTTACATGCATTTCAGCCTCTGAAATTGTGCTCTTTCAATTTCATGCAACCCATTCTTTATTTAACAGAACTGACTTCAGGAGTTGCATGCCTCCCTTCTTGAGCCTACTGGCCTATAGTTGCAAATTCTTTATAGGAAGTATCCAAGATCTGACGTACAGCAGAAAACAAGACCCAAGCATCCTTTACATGGGCATATTTTAAATCCTGAAGATGCTTTTCTAAAAACCTTTCCTCCTCAAAATGGTTCAGAACAAAGAGCTGCTGCCTCTGCCGGGATGGCTTCAGAAAGGTAATTGCATCCCAAATTGGGAAGGAGCTTAAAAATAGTGACCAATCAGCTCGTCTTCATTCCTCCTACCTCTGCTGAGACAGAGGGTGTCCTCTGCTATGCCACAGTTGAACGTTTTCTTGGAGCTTACTCACTTATTTATAGCAACAAGGGGGACTGAACCAGAAGCCAAGAAAACTGAGAAGTCTATTCCAAGCACAACTGCCAACGTCAGCCTGATTTGTAACCCTGGCTATTTCCCAGCCCTCGCTTTAAAATTCAGATATTTTTACAGGACTTCAAACATATGTCCTTGAGGTTCAGTTGTGACAGAGCTAAAAGGAAGAAGCGTGGTAGTTTGCAGAGCAGAGGCAGCGCTGCCTTGCCTTCGTGACACTGCTCCCACGTGGCCACTCCTAAGACCCAAAGGCTTTCCCAGGGAAAACCCTCGGCTCACCTCGCGCAGAAGCAGGGAGATGGGGAGAAACTCTGCCACTGCTCACCTGATGAAGTACATGAGCCCGTTCAGAGTCACGGTCTTTGGGGCGAAGGACCAGGGAGGCAGGTGGCCGCAGTTCACCAGGGACCAGAGGTCGCTGTCAGGGTCGTAGCACTGCATCACCATGGTCTCCTTGCCAGACAGAGAGCCGATGGCGAACAGCTTGCCGCGGCACGAGGTGGTGGAGCAGTTGTCCATGGGGTACAGCATGGGCTGCAGGGCCTCCCAGCTGTCCAGCGAGTGGTCGTAGCGCTCTGTGCTGTCGGAGGCGATAACGTACAGCAGGCCGTCCAGCACCGTAGAGCTGTGGTATTCTCTGGCTCTCAGCATTGGGGACACCTCTGTCCACTCGTTCACGCTGGAGTTGTATCTCCAGACACAGTCGTACAGCCTCGATCCATCCGATCCCCCTGCAGCACAACACAAAGCATTTAAGAGTGCTGACAAAAAACATTCCCTGGAAGGAAAGCACTCTGTGGTGACAGAGGAGAGGGCACGGCTCTGAACTGGACTCTGTCGTGTCTTCCAGCTACGCCTCCTCAATATCCACACACATTTCTGCCCTGCAGAGCCACGCACTGTGCACACAGATAGATCCTAGGAGACCAGAAGTGAGAAGATGCTACCAAACTTTCTGCACTATTTCTGACCCAGATTCCCAGTAAGCCAAGGAGGATTTCTCCCATGGCATTCCCAGCGCGTATTCAGCAATGATTCAAAACAATACCCTCCTTTGTTCCAAACCACCACTGTCTTTTCCATTTCGCAGTTCCTCTGCTGCTCTCCAGAAGCTGCTGTGACACAGCAGAGATTAACATTCACCAGCACCCAGGCGCCAAGGCGCTGCTGCTGTTAGCAGCATGGAGCCCTCCCAGCCCTCCCTGCCGCCCCAGCAGTGACACTGATGTTACACAGAACCACCTCCAGCGGCAGCAGCCTGGCTGAAGCGCAGGGTTCTCAGCAGAGAGCACCCCCAGATCTGCCTGCAATTGCTCCGGAAGGGGTGTAGAGGCATTAATACAAACTAATCTTCCTTTTCACACTGCTGCCTTGAAAATCTAAGCTTTGTTTCCTGCTAAAAGCAGAGAATGAGCCGTTCTCTGTTCAACTCCGCTCCACCTGCACTTCAAATCTTTAACAGCACGTCTCACATTCCTGCAACACACACAGGACTGCCACTCTGAGCACAGGGATTTAGCTCAAAAAGGTACCTATATGTGGATTAGGCACCAAGTTACACATCTGTGTCACCTCTGAAGAGGTAATGATGGCCCCAGCAGACCGTCAGGAGGCAGGGTGTGTGCCAAGGCAGACACTGACTCACACACACTGCTGCCACTCCTCAGTGCCTCATCTGCACAGAGGCCCACTGCTCCCAGAGCCTTCCAACATGCCTCTGTCTCTGCCAGGCTTGTAATTCGCAGCCTCTGAACCCAAACACTTGTTTTGCAGCCAGAAATCCAAAACCCCTCTCAAGTCACTCATATCGTCCAGAGCAAACAGTTAGAAAGTTTCCCCAGCGCGAGTTCTGTGACTTGTCTGCATACTCAGAAGTATTAGTCACAACCAAATACCTCCCAGATTGAGATCAGCTGCTAAATCCTCACCCAGCACCACCTCCAGGAGTCTCTGCTCCTCTACAGGCTCCAGCCGTGCTGTGCTGGAGCAGAGTTTCAGATTCTTCGCTCCTCTACTGAAAGCCAATTCTCACAGCAATCGCCCCAGTATTTTCAATGGGAGTCTCAACACTGAGGCTTTCATACAAGCTCTCCCAATTCACACTTTTGCCTGCCCTTGTTAAGCCCTACTCAAAGATGCAGCTGTCTTTCCTACCAGCCTCCTACCTGAACATCTGTTTATGACCCAGAACAAACGTTAACACAGAGATGCACAGGCTGCTCTCGATCACGTGCTGCTCCTACCCTGCGTGCAGCATCAGCCAGCCAGCCCGGCTGCTTCTCCACCTACAGGAGCAGAACCGTTCTCGAGAGAGGAATGAAAGCAGCACAGGAGGTGGGCGCTGTGTGGGAAGTGGGCTCCCATGGCCGAGTTACTTATTTCCTGGAAAAGGCCAGCACGATGCCCTGTGGGGGACTCAGAACGCCTGCCAGCACCCGGCCTGCTGCAGAAGCAGAGCTGCTCCCTGCCCGCCCCCAGCGCGCCTTACCGGTGACGTAGATGTCATTGCCCAGGGCAGCGACGCTGTAGCCCCCACCCAGGTGCTCGGGGAACTCAGCCAGGTAGCGCCAGTGCCCGGTGCGCGGGTTGTAGCAGTCCACGGTGACGAGCTCATCGCAGTCGCGGTCGCAGCCACCGACGAGGACGAGGATCTCGGCGAGGCCGGTGGAAGGCCGGGGCCGCATGCGGGCGCAGGGCCCGCGGTCGTGGCGGTCGAGGCGGGCAGCCTGGAAGTCGCGGGCCTCCTGGAGGAGGCGCAGGCAAGGCGGGCAGCGGGCCACCAGCGGCTCGCCCTCCACGTGGGCCAACAGGTAGAAGCGACGCACGAAGGGCAGGCGGACGTGCGCCAGGAGCTGGGGCAGCAGCGGGGCGCGGGCGGCGGGGTCAGCGTGCACCCAGCGCAGCGCCAGCTGGAAAGCGGCCTCTTCTTTGGGGACGCAGAGCCCGTCGTCACGCAGGTAGGAGAGGAGGCGCGGCAGCGGCAGGCGCTCCAGCTGGGCGCCCAACTCGCTCACGTGCCGCAGGATGAAGCGGTGCGCGGCGGCCGCCAGCGCGGGGCAGGCGAAGGCCTCGGCGAAGTCCTGCATGTCCAGCGCGTTGGCGGGCTCCAGCTGGCGCGCCAGCCAGGCGCCGCACGCCTCCTTGACGGCGGGGAACTGCAGCAGGTCGGCGGCGCGCAGCAGGCGCTCGGCGATGTCGGGGCCCAGCCCGCCCACGCGGCCGGTGTAGGCGAAGTCGAGGAGGCGCGACAGGCACTCGGGCTCCACGCCGTGCAGCCGCACCCGCTCGGCCCGCGCCTCCCGCAGCGCCCCGCCGAACATGGCGCGGAAATAGCCGGAGGCCGCGGCCAGGACGGCGCGGTGAGCCCCGAATTCCCGCCCGCCCGCCACCACCGTCACGTCCAGCAGGCTCCGCTCCGCCCGCAGCGCGCTCAGCCCCCGCAGCAGCGACACCGCGTGTGCCGGTTCTCCAGCCGCCGCCGCCGCCGTCCCGCCGCCGCCCGCGCTGGTTGCCATGCCGTGTCTGGACGAGAGCGCACGCCGAGTCGCAGCCCGAAGGGACACCGGGGTTCAGCACTGCGAGCAGCTGGCGGGAGGGGGAGAAAAGAAACGAGCAGGTAGGTCAGCACAAGGAGAAACGTCCTACGGCCAGGAAACGGATGAACTAAACAGGGCTCGGGAACATCCTCCTGCCCTGACACAGAGGAGCTGCAGTTGCATAACGCGTTGGCGCTGCCAGCAGCCTTCCCAGCTTAGGCTAATTATATTTCAAGAAGCCCGTGTTTAAGTTTCACGGGATTAAGGGATCCCACGAGCTCTGCACGCCGGCTGAGCTGATAACTTCGCACACCGGATCGCTCCGGGAGCGCCGCACCTCGGCCCGGCCGTCGTCTGCAGGTCTGCGCCCAGCGGGGAGCTTCACCCGCTCCTCGGGGCTGCCGGGTCCACAGCAGCAAATCGCCCACGTGGGCGCTCCGGGGCCCCGCCGGCAGCGCCGAGCGCTGACACGACAACCGGGCAACGCGGGGACCGCCGGGGCACCGGGAACGGCGCTGCGCTCCCGCCGGATAACGGCCGTCCGTCACACGCGCGGGCCGCGCGCAGAGCGAGTTCCCGCAAAGCTTCTGCTGCGGGCGGTCATCGCAGAGCCGAAGCCCCGAGCCGCACGGCGCTCGGCAAAGTGCTGCCGGCCACCAAACAGAACCGCGCTACAAGAGAAAGCACGGCCGGGGCACGGCGACGGCGCCCGGAGCGATGGGAGGCGGCGGAGCTCCGAGCCCCTCGGGACGGCCTCACCGAAACGGGAGCCGCGCGGCCCCGAACCGCCCCGCAGCAGGGTAACGGCACCGGGCGGGAGGAGCAGGCGGCCCGGGGAACCGCGCGGATCGGCACCGCCGGGCCGGTGCTCCGCACAGCGCTTCTCGGGGCTCGGAGAGCCGCACACGGCGACGCCGCCCGCCGAGCCCGGCCCCGGAGCCGAGCCGAGAGAGGCGGATCCCGAACCGCGCGGCCCCGGCCCGGCCGCCCCGCAAAGAATCGAAGGGCGCGGGCGGCCCGTTCCGAGCGCCGGCAGCGCCGCCCCAGCGCCGCCGAAACCCCCGCGCCTCCCGGAGCCCCGCAGCACCCGCGCTCACCTCGCGCCCCCGCGCTTCTCGGCGCCGCTCCGCCCCGCGGCGCCGCCCCTCTCGCACATTCCCGCAGCTCCGCTCCCGGCGCTCCCCGCGGCCCGCACTGCGCACGCTCTCCCCGCGCCTCCCGGCGCTCCCCGCGCGGACGGACTACTGTTCCCGGCGGTCCTCGCGCGAGCGCCCGCCCCTTCGCCGCCTCCCGCCGGTACCGAGCGGTTCGCGGGTGTCGGTGCCGCCCGGCCGCCCCTGCCGCTCCGCGCCCGCGCCCGCCGCTCGCCCTCCCGCCGCGCCGCGCCGGGCTATGGACTCCGACTCCTGCGCCTCCCCGTTCGCCCCGGAGGTGAGCCGCGTTCCCGGGGGGCGTCTCCCGCCGCCGGTGCCCGCCGCTGCCCGCTTCCCTTTGCCGGCCTGGGGCCATCTTGTGCCGCTCGAGCGCGGAGCGTCCTCGGACCGGGAGCCGGAGTGGGGGCGGTAGGGGGGACGGGAATGGCGGCGGCGGCCGGCGGTGCTTCCCCCCCCCCCCCCCCTTCTTCTCTCCGCCTCCCGCTGTGAGGGCGGCCGTGGGGCTGGGAGTGGCGGTCAGGCTGCGGGACCGGGGCTGGGGGTCGCGGGGGGGCGGCGCGGCAGTGCCCGGTGCCGCCGCGGGCGGTGGGGGTGGGGCTTCGCGCGGGGAGCGGCGGCGGCGGGCGGGGCTCCGGGCGGGAGCGGCTCCGGCAACCGCGCTGGGGCGATGGGGGGGTTGGGGGGACATGTGGGGCGGCATCGGTACCGGGAGAAAAAGGGGCGCGGGGGGGGGGGGGCGGCTCCCGGCAGCGCGAGGTCGGCGGGTTCCGGGGAGCGGCTCCGGGGAGAAGCGGTTGCGAGGGGGGGGCGGCGGGAACCGGGAGCGGTACCGGGGAGAAGGGGGGGGGGGGGGGCGGGGCGGCTCCCGGCAGCGGGGAGCGGGGCCTCCCGGCTCTGCGCCCGGCCCGGCCCCGCGGCGGAGGCGGCCGCGCTGACCCCTCCCTCCCGCTTCATCCCTTCCTCCCTCCCCCGCAGGACTTCTCCCCCACCTCCCGGAGGCACCGCACCGTGGAAGACTTCAACAAGTTCTGCACCTTTGTCCTGGCCTACGCCGGATACATCCCCTACCCGCAGGAGGTGAGGGCGTCAGCGGGTGGGCGCCTCGGTCCCTGTGCTCCCAGCACCGCCTCGTGCCCTCCTCTGGGCCCGATCCTGGCCGCTCGCCGGGGCTGTGCTGGGCTGGAGCTGCGGGAAGGGATCGGGGCTGAACCCGGGTGTGAAGCACAACCCCGGAGGGGGAGGGGTGCGATACCAGCACTGCAGCACCTCCTGTAAGTCAGCTTGGAAATAACGCCGCTGTCTGATTGCTGTGTGTTTTTCTAGGAAACGCCGCTGAGGAACAGCCCCAGCCCTCCCAACAGCACCGGTGGCACCATTGACAGCGATAGCTGGGACCCCCGCTTCAATGACATCCCCTCCTCGGTTTCCCTTCCTGCCAAGAATAGAAAAAACTTCAGCCAGCTGAAGCGAGCAAAGCCTTACAGTTCCCTGTTCCAGCGGGCAAAGCCCGGCAACTTCCTGCCAGAGCGAAAGCAGATCGATAAAATCAGAAAGAAGAAAAAGCTGAAGAGAAGGGAAACGGAGGTGTCTGCAGAGGAAGACTATGAGGAGAAGCTGCTGGAGCTGGAGGCGGAGGACTCTTACACAGAGACACCGATGAGCCCCTCGTCTGAGGGTGACCCTCAGTCTGTGGCTGAGCACTGCTCAGTCTGGGACTCTGACACGGCCTCCAGCGTCACCTACCCCACAGGGACGGGCGAGCAGGCGGTGGAGATCCAGAGTGTGGGCAAACGAACGGTCATTCGGCAGGGCAAGCAGGTCGTCTTCCGGGACGAGGACGGCACTGGCGATGATGAGGACATCATGGTGGATTCGGGTAGGTGGTTTGGCTGCCGGGGTGGCTTGAGAGATGCCGTGTGGAAGCAACAGTGCTGCCACTGATTTCTAGTACTTGTAGTGCGGGGAGAATTCAGAACCAATTAGTAGGTGTTCTTTGGGGGAGGGGTGAGGTTCTGAACTACTGGGACCTTAAGAGGCAATTTGGTGTTCTCTCCCAGAATACAGCCTCTTTTGTGCTGTTGAGAGTGGTATAATCAATGGATATCAAGTTGTTACAATCACAATATAATCAAGAGAGTTAGGCGAAGCGGACAATGATAACAAAAGAGAATAAATGGAAGGCACTTACCCCTAGGCTGGGCTCACCACAAAACGCCAATAGAGGCGATCTCCAGCAGAGATCCTTCCCCACTGGCAGCCAGCTCTTCTAGGAGGGGTGCAGCCTGGCTCCACCCCTTCCGGCAGCACAGCTGAATTGCCTTCACCTGTGCTCCTCTGGCTGGCTCATGGCTCGCCTCAGGTGATCAATCAGAGGTTCAGGCCGTGACTCAGTAGTTCCCATACAAGAGTATTTTCCCGACTAGAGCTTGCATATTGGTTCCTTGTAGGACCTGGAAAAATCAGCAAAGCACCTGCCTTTGGGAGGCAGGGAGTTAATTTAGATCAGAAGGAAAAGAGTTCCCAGTGCAGCCAAAGGACGCTGGAGAGCCATCAGGAGATAGAAACGCAACTTGCCGCTTTTCCTTCCAGATGACGACTCCTGGGACCTGGTCACTTGCTTCTGCATGAAGCCTTTTGCCGGGCGGCCGATGATCGAGTGCAACGAGTGCCACACCTGGATCCACCTCTCCTGCGCCAAGATCCGCAAGTCCAACGTCCCAGAGGTCTACATATGCCAGAAGTGCCGGGACTCCAAGTTTGACATTCGCCGCTCGAACCGCTCCCGGACGGGCTCACGCAGGCGCTTTCTGGACTAAGCGAGGAGGCGCGTGCTGCTGCGCTGCTCGGGCGCCAGGTGAGCCGTGCGAAGCACAGACACCGGCGGGGGGCCGGGCAGAGTCCCCCGAACTGCTGCTCTCAGGCCAAGGGCTGCCCAGCCTGCCTGCGGTACAGGGATGAGGTACCGCGAGTCGTGGATGGCCGGGGTGGAAGAAGCAGACTGGTCAAAACTGCCGCTAGATACCAATTAGCTCAAGAGACAAATTAAGCTCTCTGGGTTCGGTGGGGTTTTGTCCAGTTACAACTATGAGTTGGACGATGTTTTGGGAATGTATAATATCTTTGCCACGTGTTTTTTCTCATCCCCTTGGGAAACTGCAAACCTTCTCTGTGCTAGAAAACTCATCCTCTGAGGAGGGAGGAGGAGGAGGGAATCTGTGTGAAGAGTCTGAAAAGTAAATGGCCCCGTGTTTTAATTTTAATGTATTATTATACCTGCCCATTTGTCCGTATATATGGATCTTAGATATTCTAAGGCTCTGTAGGAGTGAGTGTGAATGCATACCAACCTCTGCGTGATCTGCCTCCTCTTCCACGGGCCGGGCAGGAGGTGAGTGCAGTGATTTGGCGCTGTGTAATGACAGGACTTCACCCTGCTCTGGGGGAGCGGTGCGTTTAGAGAAAGAAGGCTCCTTCCTTTGGACAGGCAGCGCTGGCAATTAGTTGACATCAGATTTCTTAGAAGTCTCTTAACGGTGATTTTTTGTGACTTTGTTCTGCATGATTGGCTCAAATGTGTTTTGGGGGGAAAACCATTTGCTCTGTGTCCTGGCCCTTTGTTAAACTCTAAGGTGCTGTTTTAAGATGACGATTCTCTCTTTTCTCAGCCCAGAATTCAAGCGTGGACTGTAAAAGAGGCTGTAGTAAATGTAGAACCTGGGCAGTCTGGTTCGAGATTTGATCATTTCCATCAGTACTACAGCTGAGTTGACTTTGTTTCTGCAGTTTATTTTTTGAGACCAGACTTGTAATCAGAAAACCAAATTCTTTAACCTGTTGGCTGCTAATTACACATAAAAACAAACAAACCACGAGTGCAGGCTGTGCAGCTAGCAAGGTGAAGTGTAACAAAGACTCATCTGGTGCTGGGAAGGACAAGAGAGTGCAGGGAGTCCAGGCTTGTTTGCGAGGCCACCAAGATGGAGGCGTTGTCCCTCAGTGACCAAACAGAGCAAGCTGTATGCATTGTGCAACTTAGGTTTACGATTTTGAGACATTTCTCCGAAGTTACACCTGGTGAACGCGTGCTCTGTCCCGTGAGATGAGGAGAGTCATTGGCTGGCACTGGAGCTTATGTGAGACCAGCTGTGCTGCTGCGGACGCGTGGCGGCGCTGCAGGCGGCCGTCAGAGCACTGCCTTACCTGAGCGCGGCGCCCTGGTGAGCAGCAGGTCTTCCCACGCTCGGTCGGCTGCCCGCCCTGACGCCCAACGCCGGGCTGCCCAAGCTCGGTGCAGGCAGCTCAGCACTGCGGCGCCCCCGGTGTGGGACGCGGGCACGGCCGCGTCGGGACGATGGAGCTGCACGCCGTGCAACTGCGCTTCAGCCTTGGTTCTTCGTACAAATCCCACCACGCCACACCGTGACAACTGACTGCAGGTTCTGAAAACCAGCTCCAGCTTCTGCTAAAACTTTAACCGTGACTGTGGTACGCTGCCTTCCAGAGGCTAAGTGCAGCCGCCGAGGAGTTTGCCAAAGACTTGCCCTTATGGCTGCCTGACTGCTGTTTGCAGCCAGAAATACAACCAAAGTTCTCTAACGCTGCCATTTCGCTCTGCAAACAGAAAGGCTTTGGAAGATCCTGGTTGCAAACTGCGAGGGCTGGACCTGCTCTGAGCACTGGCATCTTTGTGTTTACAGCGTGTCTGCAATTCAACTGGACCTCCTGGAATGTGTTCTGAAGTTTTAAGTGTTAAATGGCCACGCGAACTGCCTCTTTTTCCCAGAGGTTAAATACTAATCAATGTGACTGACTCTTGTTCTGTTACCTTTTCAGATTTATCCCAATAGATGGTGTCTGACAAGTCCAGCACATTACAGTATCAGCAGAGAGAAAAAAAGTAACATCTCCATTTAGTTCATCACTTTCAGCCATATATAATTATAGTTTAATTCAGAACTTTATTTTTTCATTAAAACTGTTTTAATGAACCATGTTTTTTTTTTAAGTGAAACAAATGAATAATGACTTTGCTTTACTCTGGATTCAAGAGTCTGCTAGTATGATTTACTGGTGTGCAAAACAGTTGTGCTGGGTGGCAGCAAGACTTGGATCACCTTAAAAACTGAGTCTCTGTTGCTTACAGCTTCTGTTTTAATTGTTGGTGATGTATAAAGCAACGAACAGAAGTCCCAGAGGAGGCTGCAGCTGTAAGATGGCAGTTTCTCACAGAACAAAGTTGTTAAAAGGAGCAGTTTCTCAAGTAGGGCAATGCTCACGGTCTTTGCAATGATTGGCAGGAAATGAAGAAGAGAGGAGGAAGGCTGGAATTTGGTATTCAGCAGGAAAGAAAGCCTGAAGCTGGGGTGTAAGGGAGAGAGGCGGGCAAGGGGCTCCACCGTGTGGACGCAGCTCAGCAGTGCCTGACTTGCAAACCGCAGGGGAACAAAAATGGAGTTTGCACGTTGACTGCTGTGGAGAAGAGCCTGCTGCAGGAGCTGTGCCTCACGGATGGGAAAAGCCACTGCTAGTGCTTTCACGGAAGGGAAAAACAGAAGTCTGAATCTTTGGTGGGCTGATATGGCAGGGAAAAGAAACCTTAGTAAACACTTAGCAAATGAATGGGGCGAGATCTGTGTCAGTAATTTCACTTCAAGAATTATGACATCAAGAGATGAAAATTAAGATTCACCTGTCCTTTGCATGAACTGCTTTACAATTAGACAACGATGGTTCTGATACGGTGGGGGAAGAAAGAATAGAGTGGGAAGGCAGAGGAACTGAGTTTTCTTTGCTAAGCTGTAATGAAAAGAAAGCATCTGCTTGAATCTAAGCCCTGCCAGGGCGGCTGAGCTGCCCTCAGGTATGAATGCTCGGGGTGACTGGCAGCAGGGGAGGCTGATAAGGCTTTCACAGCACAAGTGGTACCCAGAGCTGCGACTCCTTGGAGCGGCCATTGGCTGAATCATACTGCGACAGCAGGAGCTGAGGGCTGGCACAGAGGAGCATGGAAAGGAAGACAGGGAAGATGACAAAAAGTAAAACCTTGACCTGCATCTCCAGCTCAGGAATTCCCAGTTTAAAGGCTCAAGATCAGGAGGCCAGCACGCAGTCACGGATCCTCATGAAGGTATTTCAAACCCTGTTTCAAACCTTTCGCTCCTCTAGCTCAGTTAGCAAAGGATGCACTCAGGTACCTGGCATTCTGGTTTGCACCCAAAGGTGCTCACTACCCTGTTACTGCGTGTAAGTAAGTAATTACACCGTAATTACATTACTGCAGTACATCCATGACTCCATTACAGTAAGGATGCACTTCACAGCTCAGAAATGGCCTCTTTTCCAGGTGCTGTAATGCCATGGCTCATCTTCACAGCCTGAACAGGTTTTACATTCACACTGCTATTTCTCTACACATAGACATAAACAAAAACATAGACAAAAAGTCACTTGAATGACAACAGGAACTGGAGCTCAGGAACTTGTCAGAAAGAAGCATTGTTTTATTGTGCAAACTTCTCAGTGTATTTGCCCTGCTAGTTACAGGAGCATGCTTTTTCTTTTTACTTAGCAGTAAGTGTGCTGGCACTTGGTTGCACTTGCCACTGCAAAGCTCCTACTTCCCAGCACTGCCCCATGGAGCAGTTTGTTACATCCCAGTGGACACAGAACAACTCTCACTGCTGCCCACTTCAGGCCAACACAAGACATGAAAGAGGCAATTCTGGTGGCATTTCTTGTCCCTGTCAACTAGCAGTGGGTATAAATGACCACAAAAGAGCAGAAAGTAACAAAGGGTGCAGTTAAATTCATAGAAGTTGCACCCCTTAAGTTATGGAAGGAGTTTATTTTCAATGCTGCCCAGAAGATGAGAATGGGACATGGGCCAGTGCTCAGCTGAACATAATTTATTGCACATTTTACATTTAGTATCAGAAAAAAAACAGAACATTGGTCATACGTGAAATAGAGTCCTACACCAGGAACTGGTTGCAACTGCAGAGCCTTGTTTTACTTTTAAAAGTGAACACTTAGTTGTATGAACTTGTGTTGGAGGGAGAAGTTCCTTGCAGCCTAGCTCAAATGAGTCTGGTTTTAGAAACTTAATCGTCCTGTGAAATGCCCTCCTGCATGTCATCTTAAGACCGTGACTGGAGCAGAGAATGGCACTCCAGAAAAAGGGGCCAGGTGCACATCAGGAAGTGACTTATGGTAATGCAACAACACACAGCCAAGACCCTTTGTTTCCTGTCTCTCCCCTGGAAGCAATGGAAGCTGCCCTAGGATTCACCAAGAGCAGAGCTGTGGCTCAGAAACAGCCTGATTATTCCTTTTCTCTGTAAGGAAAGCACCACAAAACTCCCACCAAAACTGGAATAGCACACGGCTGCCACTTCTACCTGCTGTGTCACGAGAACAGCGCTGCCCTTTCTGCTGGTAAATTACCAGCACAGCTTCCATGCAGGACAAATCCAACAAGTTTACCTCACATCTGATGCTGCAGCAGAAGTGGCAGCTGAATTCAGGGTTTTCAGCTCTTTTCCCCATTTTGTGCCACTCCTCACTTTGGTCTGGTTTACTCCTATGAACCACGCTCTTTTTTCCTAGAAATAAGATGAATTGCTGTCCTTCCCCCCCCGCTCTCTGCTTTCCTGGTCTCCTGAACACCTTGACAGGAAAATGAATTAATAAGACAGTTATACCCAGTGTCCTTGTCTGGTAGAGCAGTGTTTGAAGAGAGCAGCTGAATGGATTCATAGGGAAGAGGTCCGTGTCATTACAAAAAGCAAAGAACTCCGTTCCAAACATACTTGTTCTTAACAAGTGCATTTCAAATACAGAATTAGTGTGGAAAACAATCTCTGCCCTCTTTCCAACGAAAGGATTTACACAGAAAACTCCCAGGAGGTGGCCTTAACAAAGAATTTTCACTCAGGTGTGGAAAAAGGCATGTTACCTACCTCAGTAAGTACATGAAGTAGTAAGAACAAGTCTTCTTTCTTGCTAAGTACAGAAGGCTATGTGAGAATGCACAAACAGACTGGGCCAAATTGCTGCAGGAAAGATTTGGCTGCATGATGGGTGGTGCTCAGAGCCTGCTCACACAACCTCAGCAGAAAGTAGTGCACGTTCAGAGTCACATTGCTTTATTGATTACTGAGCCACAATTGAGAAGTATTGCTTTGAAGCCACCTCAGGAAGCAGGTTCTCTCATTTTTGATCCTAACGTGACTGGTAGCCACCACCTGCTATACAGATAAAAATAAAAATGTCTCTTGTTCAAGCTTGTAGCATCTGGGGGAAGGTTCTGCTGTCTCTGCTGACCCAGGTACTGTAACAGACGTGCAGCTCTCATCAGATTTAGCCATCTGCATCGATTCTGTGAGCTGTTGAATGAGAAGAGTAAATGGATACACGCCACTCTCACCATCCTTGCTTGAACTTAAAACTACTGCATCAGGAACAGACAGAAACAACTCTGGCCAGTAATTAAACGTGGTTCATTTACAACTGCACTGTCCTTATGACAAACCTGTAAACTGGATATGCTCCTCCAATTGGGCCGTGGAAGTGGCCTGGAGTTCACAGGACTGCGCCCCGTGGCCAACTGCCCAGGGCTGTGTGGTAGCAGCAAAACCCATCAGTAGACAATTCACAAAATCACCTCGATAGGGTGAGCATCTTGACACAGATAAAATGCAGATGGGAAAGAAACCTGGTACAGGCCTCTAGCTGTCTTCAGATCAGCCCACAGCGGGCTACCTAGTGCTGGGAATCGCCCAGTAGTGATAACAGCAGCTGCTGGAAGCTGCTTTCTTTTAAACTCGGGTTGGATATTTAAGGTCAGGTGGCATCAATTGCTGCAACGCTGCAACTGAGCTCCTCAATGACTGGAGACACACCGTAGCCACCCCAGTCCATTTCAGAAACCCCAGCTCTTCCTGAAGGAGGAAGCACAGTAGTCCTTGTTACTTACATTGCTTTGGTATCCTGAGGGCCTCGTTGTCAGCTGACATCACTTGGTGCAGAACTCCCCGGAACTGATAAAGCACTTTCAAACTCTTCTCCTCACCCACACAGGGATCATAGAAACCCGGCAACCCAGCCTTCAAACAGAGAAGGACAGGCTGGGAAACAGTGCACAGGCTTTCACTCTTCAACGACTCTTAAAATATCATTAGCACCAGAATAAGGTGTCAAAAAAAGTTTTGTTGCCAATGAGATGAGAAACTAAGAAATTATTTCCCCAGTGCCAAGAACGCAGAAAACACTGAACCCAGGAAGTTTCTGATGTACAGCCCCAAAATCTGTAACACTGTCCTATGCCATAAACACTGAGGCACTGTTTGACATTGGAAATGCCCAGAGAAACAGAAGTTCCTAGAGGTTTGTGACACTCGTATGGAAAGTGGTATCTGTGAATTAACCTGGCACCCTGCGAGGAGAGCATGCCGACTCAGAACGCTGAATCGCACACTCGAGTGTCTCAGTAGTGCTCTGACAACAGCTACATACCTTGGATGCCTCTGTGAGGATGAGCTTGGAGTCCTTCACTAAGCACTGCAAGGGCACAGTCACATCTATTACTTTCACCTTCTCATTCTTCCTGCTGTTGTCATTAACAAACTTCCCATACCAGGCATTCACTACAATCAGACCTGCATTTCACAGGAAATGACAAATGCAATGAGCTGTTTTGCACTGACAGCTGGGCAGACATGGATTAAAAGCCCACCCCAGCACCTTCTTTTGCTTTCAGTGATACTTGAATCCACCTTGACTCAACCCACTCTTTTCAAGACAGAGGAACATTTATACCTGGGTGTTTGCTAGCAGTATTTCAGCACTAAGACAGAATGACTTGCCTTCAACATCACACTGATGTGACAGGCCAAGCGAATGCCACTTCACTTTGGAAGATTCTCATGGTTGTTGCTCACAAGCATTAATGCTCAGATTTCCATTATAATCTAAGAGCAAACTGTGCAGATCAGAGATCAGCAGAGCACAGTCTTTCTCCACATGCCTATACCCACACTTCTCTTTTGTGCAGAGAAGCAGCCAGACTTGCCTACGTCCTGCTGATCATCTTGCAGCCTTTCCTAAGACAATATTTGGTGTCCCTAAGTGCAGACACCAGATGAATCACAATGGAATTTTCCCAATATATGCACAACAGCAATTATGCCATGCTTCATTAAGAGTAGAAATGAAGCAACTGCATTTTGCATTTCTCCCCCTCAGCTACCCAGCCTTTTTATTGCTCCTTCCTCCATCCACATTTATGGAGCAAATAAATGGTGTTATCATCTTTACCCATTCTGGCTTCCTCTGCTTCAATTATCCTCCGGACAGACTCCTGCATCAACCTAACCTGTAATAACACAGGGGACAGAGTAAAAATTCAGCACTGTCAGACACTGAGTCCAAAAGAGAGTAAAGTAAAGTAAAACCAGCTTCAAGAGGGATTACTTATGAGAAAGACTTACTGCAGCTTCTGCCTCTTGCTTTTTCTGAAGGATGTCACTGGCAGTACTTTCCCTCTGCTTCTCCAGCTCTCTGGCATAAAGAAGTCAAAAAATCACATCAGGTCTACACAACGAATGGGATTCAGCCAAAGTGGCAAACGTTCACTAATTCACCCCAATTATCACTGTCCCACATTATCACTCTAATGAGCTGGGCTTCAAGGTTCTTCCCCACCCTCCAGGGGATTTCCATAGCCTTCCAGCAGCATTAACACCATGCCATGGATATCCCAGCCTTTGAACCAGACTCCCAGAAGCACTCCATCAGGACTTCCCAGCTCTGTACTACAAACACAGCCTTGCCAGCTCACCTCTCCTTCTGCGCCCTGAGGTAGGGTTTGATGATTAGCCTGTGCATGGCAAAGTAGACAACCAGGGGTCCCACAGTGGCATAGAATACAGCACTGGGAAGCAGCTGATCTGTTAGGTGGACAGGGAAGAAGTAGGTCTGACTAGCCCTGTTCAACCTGGAAGGAGTGAGAACATGAGGACAGGTCAGAAGAAATGCAGAATTCAGCGTTCTTGGTTAAGTACACAAGCAAGGTAAGATGACCGAGTCATCCCAAAAACACGAGGAGCAGAACTGCGAACTTTGGAAGAACATCAATTTTTGAGAAGTCTCGACAGCAACATCTCAGCAGTTTCTGCATCCCAGCCGCCCTCTGCTGGCACCAACGCAGAAGCGCAGCACAGAACACGAAGCCTCAGAAGTTGGGCATCTCTGGGAACTGCCACATTAACAAAGCATCCTCAGTGACTCAACGATGGCAATTCACCAACTGAAGCACATAAGCACGCACAGTGTTTCACAAATGGAATGCAATTAAATACATTTCTTTAATATTTTTTGAATTCTTCCACCCTTTTACTCATAATACCCCAAGCTTAAAGCTGTACTTTCAGAGTATTTTGATGCATACACACAGTCGCCCTGTAAGAGGTGGTTCAGGCTCAGAATAACACGAGAGGAAGGCACAACCTGCCTTACAGATGAGGGCAGCTGCAAACCCTTACACTGGAATATCAACATACGTGCTTTGCTCTAAGATAGGAACCCCCTCACCTGAATTTTTGAAATACAATAATGTAAGTTATGATTGGCCTCTACACTCTACAGTTATAATCTTTAACTGACTTGATTTTCAAAGACACTCCTTGGGGAACACCAACGCTGACGGTGGCTCCTAGGATGCTGTGTCTGGAAATCTTCCTCTCTGCTCCATACTCCACAATGGTCCCAAAGAACCCTGCCCTAGAACGAGAGAACAGATACTGCTAAGACTCAGAAGACTTCAATTTTTTCATCCCTGAATTCTCTTCATGTAATTCCCCAACCAGTAAAACACACAACAAATACGTTTGTGTGGGGCAGATGCTGGCTGTCAGAAGATTCATGGTGCATCTCCAAGATGAGAGCAGCCCTTTCAGTTAGTAAACCAGTTAACAGACCACAGAGGCAACAAGCATGTATTTTACATTCTACTTAACTGGAGAGACACAAAGCTAAGCCTCCAAGAGGCTCACTTCAGTCATTAACAGATATAATTAAAGAGAAGCGGGTTCCTAAAGAATACAGAAGCGCTCAATTCGTGTGGAACCCAGAAACCTACAACAGCAGGAGGTAACAGATCGAGCAGTGTGAATTCCCACCTGACACTTACTTTAGAGAGCCTTTTATCCGCGTCTGATCCTCATCCTGAAACTTATGCTGATAACTGACCATCATGAAGGAATGGGGGATTCCCAGCTGAAATACAACAGCAGAAGCTGAGGCTTCTCCCTCCCAGAACGGCACCAACGTCCCCTGCACACAGCAGCAGGATTCTCACCTGCAGCGCCACAGTGAAGTGGCTGGTTTTCGTGTCCCGGACAACGCTGGTGTTCATGGCTGACTGGAGGCCCCACCGCCACTGCAGGTACCCCATCGTGTTCCTGTCGAGGTTGCGGGCCAGAACTGTGGTGAGACCTGGGCGGATCCCGTGGGACGAGAACTGCAGAGCACAGTTGGTAGTGATGAAGCTAAAGAAACAAGCAAAGCCTCATCAGGATGTAGAGCAGGCTCCCTTGATCTAGTGGTATTAAAATAGAAGACACTAACAAACACAATAGATGCATTTCAATTAGCACTGAAGCATTACGTAAAGGCTAGAGAAGAGAAACCTTTTGCAGAGCAGAAAACAAATCTAGAATTAACAGGAAAATGAATTTAAGAAGGTTAATATTCCACACTGAGGAACCAAACATCAATTTTTGACTATTTACCATCTTGGCGTAAGATTACGGAATATCTTCAGACCAAAGAGAGGCCCCTGAAGGTCTCCTGCTCCAAACTCCAACTGTTGAAATGCACAGTGATAAGCAGTTAGAATATAGGCTTTGTCAAGAGACAGAGTACTTTACAAGCATTGTTTTAATTCAGAAGTGCTTAAAACATCTGAATCAAATTCACCACTTATTTTAGTATCCTCTCCTTTCTGCTAATTTCTCACTGAGAATAAGGAGTGTTTCTCTGAGCAAGGCTGTCACGAGCAGAGGAAAGCAGTTTCTGTAGCCACACAGGCACTTATAGGAAAACACAGCCCTTGGGAAGGGCCCAAGAAACAACAGGTAACATTCTATCAGCACAAGCCAAGCACAGCCAAAAATGGGAAGAAAAGAAATGAAGGAAAACTTTGGACTTGGGAAACAGGATGTACTGAGTATTATTCTACTATCCAACAGTGTGTTTGTTTTAGTATCGCTCTACAAATACTGCTACCACCTAAATCTCCAGGAGCTCTCTTCATAGGGCATTCAAGAAAGTTTGTCAGCACTGCTATCCCTATCTTCTGAAATGGAAGCACACAAGGGTGGAAAAAAAGCTGAAGAGAAAATAGCCTAGATAGCTAATCCAAGCAGCCTGAAACAAATTGGGTACAATACATAACATCCAGCATTCTCACCTCTCCCCATCCCTTGGCAGATGTCACTCGTCTAAAAGCAACATTAATTGATCCACCTCCGTTCCCATTCTGGGTAGAAAGGTTACCAGACAGTATTGCTGTGTCTGTGGAAGTCAGTGGTGCCTGAGAAAAAGAATACAGTGCTACCAAAACGATCCTGATTCACATACATAACATCTATTCTAAAGGGACACAGCCAAAACTGCAGATGACAGCAGAGATTCTGAGCACCGTGAGACAAGTATCAGCACAGCTGCATTCCTGTCATCCACTTAACCCAGGTGTTTGAGCCAGGCACACCCATATTAAGTTTTGCAGTGAGAACACAGCAAAATGTGAAATAAGTTTTACACAGCAGCTGCTTGTGACAGCTTTAATGAACTGCTAAGTCCCAGTATTGAGCTGTAGTTCCTTCTATTCTCACTAGTAGACTCAATTTCTCCAACTGTTTGGAACAAAGGGAACATTTGCCCTTTGTTTCCTGCCTATGTCCTCAAAATTGGATGATATGTTTTCATATACAAAGTGTCCTGCATTCACAGAGAGCTAGATACCCACTTCGAATCACAATTCAGCCTCCCTTCTAGCAGGGAGCATTGCAGCATACAGACAAGCCATCAGATTCTGCCCTGTGCTCACACAAATGCGTGCCACATTCAACACAGCCCTGCTGGAACCCAGTCTCCTCCCACTCACCCTGGTTAATGGATCTTCCTGTAAAGAAAGAGGAGACCTGAGCAGTTTCCAGGTTCTGCTGCTTGCCCTGTACTGCCTCATGTTCTCAGACCCTGACCAAGCCGGCCACGGCGCCTGCCCTCCTTACCTCAATGGACTGGGATATGTGCATTTTGTTTATTTCAATCTGGGGAAAGCTGCTCCCTTGCACATCTTCATATTCTTCATCATAACGATCAAAGAGGTCCGTAGCATCTATTCCAACACTGATGGTTCCCTAAGGATGAAGTGAAACAAGGTACTACAAGGTATTAACAAACACCCAGCTTACTGAGGCTACACAGCTAAAGCACCCTCACACATACATTGCTGGTTTAAAGACTGCTTTTCAGAATTCTCTTGTTCTGCAATTACATTCTCCATTCTAAACAGCTTGTTTTTTCAAACACAAACACTACAACACTTTTTTCCCCAGGAGGAACCAACTTGGAACATGAGCGAGAGTGGGGATGTTTGAAAAGAGCGCCATCAGATTCCTGTCTGGGTCACACAGCTACGAGGGGCTCTGATAAATTCCCCACAGACCTCCTGCACAGCACCACCACAAAATGGGCAATAACCACCTGCCGGAACAGAACCTCTGTGCACACAGGATTAACATCAAGCAGTTTGAACAAACGCAACTCAGGGTAGGTGTAAAAACATCCTGACAGTGGAATACAGACAGACTGAAATAAGAATTTGTTGTAAGTAGGAGTTTTTCCATGCTCACTCCATTCTAATAGGATTCTGAACCTTAAATTGCAGAGTTTGATAGGATTCAAACTGCCAACCACGTATCTGCTGTGAGGATTCCTGCTGTTTATTTTCTGATTGCTTGCACAACAAAAAAACCAGCATATTTTAACACAGAAGGGTGGGATTATTTCCAGAACTCTGGAATAAGGGATGAATCCTTACTTTTATTTTCTTTATTTTTTACATTTTTGGAAGGCTGCTGAATTTTAAATCAATTACACTTATTTCCTGTTTAAAGAAACAGGAATGGCAAATTACTACCATTCACGCAGAAGATTACTTCTCAGGAACGACCTCCAACACCACCTCAAGGAGCTCAAGGAGTCTGCTCTCCAAAGGTAAAACTTCTCCAGCTGCAGCCTCTCCTTGCTGCGCAGTTCCTCCACAAGGCCAACGTAACAGTGGAGCAAAGCAAGGCTGCCAAGTGCCTCAGAAGCTGCAAACCCTGCACTGCTGCTCCAGATGCCTACAAAGCACACTGAGAAGAGCCAAAGAAAGCAAGAAGGGCCAGCCTAACTCCACGAGAGTCCAATCAGTGCACTGCAGACTGACTGATCAAACATTTTAACACAGGTGAAGGCACATCAAAACAGAACCACCCCTCTCTTTTCTTGATGCTGTTCACTTCAGAAATATACAAGCCCAGGATCTTTCACAACAGCTGCACAACAAGGTTTTTTTGGCTTGGTGCTGCATTCAGCACAGCACCTCTGCAAGACTGCAACTCTGAATTACAAATTTAGAGTAATTTAAACAAAAGTTCTCAAACTAAATAGTAGCCACGTTGAATTTGAATGAAATCTTGCAACTTCCTTTTTCACAACTATGAACTGCAAAACATTCCTCTCAGTGAAAATGGAGAAGTCAAAAGGAAAACACCTGAATCCATGCATGAAAATCTACAAAACCAATTCAGATGAAAGCAGCACCTCAGCTGCCCCCACCCCTGCCCTCTGCAGCAGGATTTCTGTTCAGTCGCCTTTTGGTGAAGGGAGCAGCAGACTCCACGAGGTATTTTCCCTCCTGCCAAACAGGTGAAGTCACCTTCAGAGACCTATCGGTCCTGGCAAGGAAATTGGCTCGTGCACGAGCACAGGAAAAGCAGCAGATGGCAATGTTAAAAATATTCCCAGAGAACGACAGCACCCCCTACGGCACCGGATCGTAGAGCGCAGCACCGCTCCGCACAGCCTCCACCTGCTCAGGCCATTGAAAAAAGGAAAAGCCTTCCCCAAGCGAGAGCAGCAGGGAGAGGCTGCAAAGCTCTGCTCACAGGTCGGCTGCGCACACGGCAAGCAACGCGCAGAGCAGGAGGTCGTGATGAGCTTCAGGACCACCAGAACGGCGATCCAACAGCACCTTTTGAAGTCACCTGCATTCAACATCCCTGCAAACATGAAACAGTTCATGATGAAATTAATAGATGTGCCAGAGAAGAATATATCCTTCCTCCTCTTTTTTCCTGGAAGATCACCTTCGTTCTGGAAGCGACACGTGGAACCTGGCTGGGCCCTGAGGAATCTGCATTTCTTAGGCATCGACCTTCTGCAGCAGGAAGATAATGGGACTCACTGCTCCAAATGGGAAGCAGTTCTCAAATCAAGTAATGAACTTTTCAACCCTTCCACACAGCTTTGAAAACAAAAACAAAACTCTAAAAGCAAATAATAGGCTCAATTTGAAACCTGCCAAATTGCCTACATCTGGTTATTGCTCAACATTTCTGGTTAAAACACTTTACTTTGCTGAAACCATTTTATAGAACTGACAAAATGTTTGAGATTTTAAGATAACTTGTGTTCATGTATGAAGTGATCACAGCTGTGCTACCTAATTCCACAGGAACATTGCCTGGAGAGACATTTCTATAGGCTGCCAATCAGCAGTTGCTGTAAGCACCCAGATGGCTAATTTTATCACAGGACACAGAGACCAAGGCTTGCAGTACAGACACTTTTTTACTGCTCACAGACAGTGAAATACCCAGATAAAGTGTTGAACTGAAGTCACAGTGAAGCACTGCACAGATAACCATGCCCCTCTGTGCCAGTGCCCTCCTGACCACAATCGCTCTCATCTCCAGTACAGACTTTTGGACTTGCCCTATTCCGTGGCATCCAGAAATCCTTTCCTGGATAGAATATGAGAACAGCAGATATTTACATATCACCTTATGCTCAGCCACCCTTTCAGAACAAATAAGTTCCTAATATCTGTACAACTCACAACAGCTTGGTGATCTGCATTACTCGATTTGCTCTGCTAAGACCAGCACAGATTCAAAGTCTGTGCCAAGGAATACCTCAAAACATTACAGGTCTTCTCAGATGGATATTTTTCTGATTCAGTTCTAAACTCACACTTCTGTCTCCTATGAAAACACGGTGACTATAATGACTATAAAGACCAGAGCAACCTTCCAAACCAGCTCTAGTAGCAATTACTCAACCAGCAATCTCTCTGTTGGGTTACACGAGCTCTGCTGCAATACTGTAAAGGCCCAGGCATGAAGCCAGTGACACAGAGGACCTCTTCAAGGACATCAGAACAGTACCAGCACCCGTGCTTGGGATGCAGGATCTTTGTACTTCCACCAAGCATTTGCAAGCCAAACAAAATTCAACGTCTCACTACAGTTTTGTTTGAAGACAGAGGAAGTTTATTTACCTATGTAGATGTCTGCACAGCTACCTCAGTGCTGAGAGAGGAAGATTAAGGCTCCCCACCATGGAGCATTTCTACCCTGCATGGAAGGAAAAGGCTTCCAACAGAGGTTTAAAAAAAATAGGCACAAAATGGTTTCTGACAGTTTAAGAAGAAAGGAGAAGGATACAGACAAGAGGAACACTGAAGTGCAAGCATACGAGGTGAGTGCCAATGCAACTCTTTGATAGTATTGCTCACTGCATGAATCAGAAAAACCTTGGTTCTCAACAAGCTTCAAAACCTCAGTCGGGGCAATCCTGACAAAGGCTCAGGCTGCCTGCACATTTATCAAGCCAAGAGCCTGCTAGGCCATTAGCATTGCAGCCTACTGGAGTATTCCAGTCACAGCAGGTGACAGATGTCAGTCATCATTTCCACATCTCCCTGCCATCCCAGTGTTACAATGAGAACATCATCCTTAACACAGATCACTCCTAAACAGCCAAGATTAAGCAGCAAGGTGGGTCACTTAGGGTCGATTTATTGCTGCTCAAGCAGATAGAGATGAGGATGGAATGCTCAATGATTATCCTTTTAAGAACATGATGTAGCTTTCTTTAAGCAGGACTAACTGTGAAGCAGGCAAGACCCCAATCTTGTTCATGCTGATTTTGCTCACTGCACTGCAAGCACTCTATAGTGAGAGGGAACAGTTATCTATCCAGCTGGTTTAGTAACTGCCTCATTTTTTCTTTTCAAGGCTGCATCTGAATCTCTCTCCACATTGCTGTGACACTAGAGCAATATTAAAGGGAAAAATTGTCAGGTTACTGCAAGGAGTTACATTTTATTTGGAACATTTGGATAGAATTCAAAACAACTTCAGAGTTAGGAATGCTCTCCTAAAAGCATTGAAAGATACTTTTGCTCTCTGATGTTTAAACAGAAAAAATAATCTCAAAGATTTAGTTGTTTTCCCTACATTTTCCAGATAAACTGCACAAAGAGCAGCTCATTAACTGTGAATACCTAAGGAGTTATTTACTATAACCCTTCATTGAGGCTCATCACCCTTGCATTCCTAAACACTTAAGAACTCAGCGTTGAGACTGGCACGAAGCCTTTGCTCACCTTTGGATTAGTTCTCTGCTGCAGTCTTCTCTCTTCCCTCTCTCTCTGCAAACGCTCAAACTCCTCTCTGATTTCAGCTGGAGTTCTCTTCCTTTCCACAACCTGCTCAAAAAGAAATCGAAATACTGGTTGTGTCACTGCTGATGGAACAGAGGCCTGCTGACACTCAAACACGCTGCGCACACTGCTCTGTTTCCCTACACGTTTCAGAGAATCAGAGCTTTAAAGAGGCACAGCTCTAATTAAGGACAGAAAAAGTACTGGTTTTAGATTTAGTTCAGATGAAAAAGATGAGATGAAATGGGATATTGATGCATTTGTCCCAGCCAAACGTGTTGCCTGCTATGATAATATCCCAGCAGGGAACTCTGAATGACATGTTTTTTGTTCTCTGGTAAAAAAAACATCAACAAAAAGTACTCTGAAAACCCACCATGTCGCTCCAGAGGTGGAGGTAGGGAGAGGAAAATAAAAGAAACAAAACAAGAGTACTTCCTATCAGTGTAATGTTACAATGGGATGGAGACTACTGCAACAATAGTGGGGTGGCAAAGTCTTTGGCTACAGCAAATGAGAAGAAGCCCAAATGCAGCCACAGATGCAGAAATGAAGGGAAAGAGCTGCTTACCTTTGGAAGGCCTCAGGTACACAGGGATCTCCAGCAAGAGATGCCCTCACCTCCACAGCCAACCCTTAAATGGATCCTGGCTCCACCCCCCACTCAGGTGTACCTGAGCTCCGTAGGATTGGCCCTACCTTCCTACCACGTGCTCCATCACTGCTGCAGATTGTGTCCTGCATTTCTGCTACAAGCAGACAAGTTTATTTTATACCTTCAAGGTGTCAGTGCAGCTCAATACAGCAAGAAATTCAGACAAATTTGGATTCAACCAATCAGCCATAAAGTATGGAATTTCTCTCACCTCCCATCCTTCCATCTCCAGTCCTCTCCTCCCATATATGTCATAGATGGCCCTGGTCTGTGGATCACTAAGCACTGCAATTACAATCAAAGAAGAATGATAACTTGGTCTTCTTAAATCACAGGCCAACAAAACTGTGTTACTTTGGATTCAGGCAGATTCTGGAAACTCTTTCTACAGAGAAATAAGGGAGATACTGACAAGACTGCTTATAATACATAGGAGGTAAGAACCAGGACTTCATATTTTCTTCATTGCAAACTTACAATACATCACTCCTCTGATTTACAGGACAGAAAAAGGAAACAAAGCACCATTAAGTATCAGCAATATTATAACAACGCAATGTGACAATATTTATTTGTACTTTAAAGAGCACAAAGACAAACCCTGCCTAAAAAGCCCCTAGGAAATCTTGGCAAACTCAAAGACTTCTGCTGACCTTCATAAGCTTGGTGAACCAGGTTAAACAGCCGCTCAGCCTGCAGCTTCAGCTCTGGGTCTCTGTGCTTGTCTGGGTGGTACAGCATGCACAGCCGGCGGTAGGCAGCTTTTAACTCTTCCTGAGAGGCCTATGAAAAGCAATGCAGATGAATTAAAATACAATTAAGGACAATGAAAAGACAAAAGGACCATTTCCAAGATCAGCCTTAAAAGAGAAATCTAACAGCCACTACATCCCATTACTTACACGAGTTTAAGAACAGACTTACACTTCACAGTAGGACACAGCTGCCATGTAAGTCAACAAAGCATTCAGCTATGCAATCTGTGCTTTCTAAGTTATTTATAAGGTAGGCAATGCTAAAATAGGATGAAAAGTACTATGATAATAATCGGGGGGGGCAAGTCTTCAGCTACAGCAAACAAGAATAAACACAAATACAGAAACAAAAGAAAAGAGCTGCTTACCTTCAGAAGGCCTCACGTACACAAGAAACTGCAGCAAGAGATGCTCTCACCTCCACAGCCAACCCTTAAATGAGCGCTGGGAAGGGGAGGATCCTGGCTCCACCCCTTCCTGTTGCTCAGGCACACTGCATGCACCTGGGCTCCCCTGGCTGGCCCTGCCTTCCCACCAGGTGCTCCATCCCTGCTTCAGGCCATGAGCCAGCATTTCACGTTACAGCAGTGCTTCACTGCTCCCTAGCACTTCTGTTCCTGTACAACAAGGATGCTCCACTGTGCTGTGAGAATAGCAGGCACTTCACCTCCCTCAAAAATTGACTCAGCTGCCACAGATGGATGAACAGAACAGTAAGTCACTGAACGCATCAACAAAACAAATGCGTCCTTCAGCATGAAGAATTTGAGGTGGAACCAGGCCTCATTCCAGAGGCAGAGATTTTGGATGGCTTCTTTCAGAATCAATGGAATAACAGAAGGGACGCCTTCCTTTATCGCTCCCAGGAGACAATGGCAGGGCAGAATCGCCTTCAGACCAGGGGAGACTCGGCAGCCTCCCCTTTCTCACTTCATTCCTTGTATTTCAGCACTATTTATCCCTCAAAGGGTGAGGAGAATGTGCAGTTTCTTTTGCATCTCAAAGCTAGAGGTTTGTTCCATCTCGACAGTCTAGAGTAGATGATGTCTCTGCATTTATACTTAATGTTACATTTCTGAAGTGATACGGCAGAAGTAGACCTGATGAATTTGCTACCCCCAGGACAGCAAGGCAGATACAGAACAGCTGCCTTCTTTTTACCACTGTGTGCTTCCTCAGACATTGAATTTAAACTAGATTGAGAAGACAGAGCTCTAAAATGACATTCCTTAATCAAATTAATGATAAATGGTTTAATGTGCTATTGATTACATAATAGAAATGAGCAATTTCGTTTTTTGTAAATGCCACGTTCAATACAAGGTTAGATTGGGCCTTTCATCATCTCTGAATACATTGGGTCACCGGTTCAATATTTCATGAGAGATAACCTCTTAGGAACCACTAAAGAAATACTGACATCATTTCAAATTGCAATGAGATACATAAGTCAGTAATAACGATATGTAAGTTGCATTTTTATTACCAAAATTCTCGACGAAATTAAGATGTGTGTCACCTCCTCGTTTGGGCTTAAATGCCTTAATTTAGTGTTTCACACTTGCCACGTTTTTACTGGATTGAAATCCATAGAAGATTAAGCATACAGACACACTGGAGATGTGTTGCTCAGTAGCTTGTTCTCCTTACCACGGCTGCAAAGCTCAGTGGTTAACCATTACGCTGAGCCCAGCTGCCCCCCCCCACAAAACTGGCTCAGCATTCAGCAGTGTTGCCTCGTTGCATACCACTGCCATGCAGGACAGCACTACAGAACTTAATTAGCAAGGAGATAATTAAAAACGTAACTACCCTCATCTGGAATTACTCTCTCAAAGATCCTTTTAGCTCGGCTTCACTTCCCTGCTGTACTCAACTTGACTTTTTGTTATCTGTTGCAGTGCTGAAAGTCTGGCCAAGTTAACCTTTAAGCCTTCCCTGTTCATCCCCAGGCAGTCACAGCGCCTGCACGCTTCCTACCTCACTCTTTTAACCTTTGCATCTGCACCTCGATGGCATTTGGGAGTGTGATTTACAAGGCTATTGGCTGATGTAACAGTACGACCCACAGACTCTTAACCGTGCTCGTGTTTGAGCTGCACAACACTCTTCAAAAAAGAACGTTTTTCTCTTCTGCACAATATTGGAAAGCTCTGTGTAAAGTTACAGTCAGAGATTGTTTCCTTCAGAAACACGAAAGGCTTCCATAAAGAAGACACAGAAGGCCACCCCCATGGCCAGAAGCACTGACGTCAATTCCCAAGCTAATATTTTCAGAACCACAGGACGAAATTGCTTCTATGTCTCAAACTCCTACCATTTGAGGCAGCAGTAGCTCAATAAAAGCTTTCTTCATCTCTGAACGTTAACTGTTAGGGCTGAAGGGTCCGAGCAGCGCAGTCTGATTGTGCACACACTGCCGTGGTGAACCTGCCTGCAGCTCAGCACAGCACACACGTTCTGACCTCCTGCAACTCGACCAGTTATTGCTGGCACTGCGCGCCGGCTAACAAGGGGCTGCACCTCGGAAAGGAAACCGGAGAGCACTGACAGCCTTTTATCTTTTTAATGTGAGCACATACGGTTCACACAGCCCTGATTCGAACCAGAATGAAGAACCAGAAAGGCACAGAAGGTCCATGCACACAGAGGCGGGTCTACAATCACGCTGTCACGAACTCCGGGGTTCTCCCATCCATTCAAACGCGCTGCTTTTAGCACAGCGTTACCTCGCCGCTCCATCTCACGCTCAGCCCCGGGCGCTGCCAGCACAGCGAGCGGCTCCGAGGGCTGCTTTTGTACCAGAACGAAGGATCCCCCCTCCATCGAACCCCGGACGCCCCTCGGTGCCGCCCCCATCTAAGCCCCGCACGAGGCCGCGCTCCCCGCCCCGCCCCGCCATCCGATCACCGCCGCCCGCTGGGGTCGCTCTCAGCCGCCCGGGCCGCACCGCGGCCCGCCCCAGAGGCGAGGTCAGGCACGGGGGGTCGCGGCCCCCTCGCGAAGCCGCGCGGCCCGGCCTCCGCGCTCACCTCTCGCCGCACGTTGAGCAGCGCGTAGTAGTCCTCGTTGTCCGGCGCCTCTTCGCCCAAGGCCGCCGCCATCTTCCCGACCTCTCACCCCGCGCCGGGCGGAGCGATGCGCCGCGCCGTCCTGACAGCGCCCCCTGCGGCCCGGAGGAGCCCGACTACTGCGCGTGCGCGCGGGGCCGCGTGCCGGCCTGGCCGAGTGCGCAGGCGCGGGCGGGCCCCGCCCCGGGAGCCGTGAAACGCGGCGCGCGGCGGCGGGCGCGGATCCCGCGGTGAGTGCTCGGCCCGGTGCCTGCCGGGTGCTTCTCTCCTCGCGGTTCCTTTGTGCGTCGCGGTTCGGTTTCCACTCCGGGGCGCGGCGGGAGCAGCGCTCCGGGATCCGGCGCGGCGCCGCCCGTTGGCGGCCGCGGGTTGGCGGGGCGCGGGTTGGCGGGGCGCGGCGTCCGTTCTCGGCACGGCGGGGCCGGGCCCGGGCTCGAGCACCGACGGGGAGCGGCGGAGCAGTTCGGCGGCGGCGCGACCCGCGGCCGGGCGCTGCGTTCCGCACGGGGAGGGGGCGGTGCCGCTCCGTGCGGGCGCTGCTTGGTCCCGCAGCGCTTCTGTGCTCGGACGGAGCTCCGGGACGCCCCTCGTAGCCCCGCCGTGCTCTGACGGGAAGCTGGGTCTGCTTTCCCTTCCCGAACTGCGGCTGGCCCGGGTCGAATCGCGTTCCGTTCCCGTGTAGGCTCGGCACGGGGGCGGGTTGGCTCCCGCCTGTTGGAAGCGTTTTTCCCACGTGGTTTCAAAGACTGAAGATGCAGAGACCGCTCCGATTCCCAGGATGCGAATTGCCCCGGTCTGTAGCCGGACGGTTCGAGTCCGGTCCGTGCTACGCTGTTTCGAATGCCGCGTGGGAACGGCGTGGCTCGTAGGGATATCGGCGGCAGCGTGACTGGGAATCCTTGCCCTTGCTGGGCCGACCTGACGTGTTCCTGAACGACGCTGCTGCCCGCTGCCAGCTCTGCCGTTGCTTTGTGTGCATCACGGATGATTCAGGGGCAATTTCTGGGAACGGTCCACAGATGTCACATCTTGGCAGGGAAGCATAGGAAAAGAGCTATATGACTTTAGTGAGCTAAATATGAACTGTGCTTTCTAAGCATCTGGAGACTTCTCTTTAGAATATTAAGCTAAATGGAAGAAAAGTAACTGCTGTAGGAAAAGGTTACAAAGGTTACTTTGCAAGGGGAAAAAAGGTATTTATTGAGCTTTTCCGAGTTGCCGAGTTCTGGCTCTGGGTGTGGAGTCTCTTGTCCACACTGCTCTGCAGGATGCTGGCGGTGCCCAGGAAGGCATCGTGGTGCTCTGTGGGGTGCAGCCTTTGTGATGAGAGCTGCAGATGCCAAGAGTCAGATGTGGGGTTTAGCAGCTCCTGTGTTCTCAGGTGGCTGCAGCTTCTGCCTGGTGCGCTGCTGTTGGAAGCTGTGAGCAGCCTCACTGGTTTCTTCTTAGGTCGCAACCTAAGGGCATGTTTCCCCCTCACACAGAACTGCTCTTTTTAGTCTGGACCATTCCAATCAAAGAAACTCGCATTATTATTTTTTCCCTAAGCTGTGATGTCTTTGTTTCTTTTCTGCTTATAAAGCATGTGCTCTGTTCAGAGCCTGCACTGAGAAAGGGATGCCACTGAGTGTAGTGGCAGTGCTAAGTCACAGCCTGAAGCAGTGATGGAGCACCTGGAGGGAAGGCAGGGCCAGCCCAGGGGAGCTCAGGTGCATGCAATGTTCTGAGTGATGGAAGGGCTGGAGCCAGGATCCTCCCCTTCGCAGCCCTCGTGTAAGGGTTGGCTGTGGAAGTGAGGGGATCTCTCTGGAGATGCTTGCGTAGCTGAGGCCTTCCAAAGGTAAGCAGCTCTTTTCCTTCATTACTGCATTTGGGCTTGTTCTCATTTGCTGTAGCCAGAGACTTTGCTACCCTGCTATTATTGCAGCGCTTTCCCTCCTATTATAGCATTACACTGAGCATTGCTGTGCTTAGCTTGAAGTGCAGAGTTCCCAAAGTAGGGTCAGGTGTTGGTGGGCTCAGTGATGCCCATCTTCCTCTGGTGAGAGTGGCCAGTGTGTGCTGGCCCTTGTTTGGCAGCTTCCTGGAATCACGCAGTCATCCCTGGAAATCTGCCCCCACACAGCGTTTTTGCTGATATTAATTTGGGGTCTATCTTGGATCAGTGGAGGGGAAAAGCAGAAGATGCCATCAATTTAGCTGAGCTTGTCAATGCTGTCAAGTTACCACCTGATGAAATTCCTCCCTCCTAATGATTACAGCCAATGAGGAGAGATGTATGCTGATGGTGCTTTTGAGCAACAGAGCAGCCGGGGTCCAACTTAGACTTTAATGTAGCGTCATCTGGGGGCTCTTTGGCTTTAGTGAAAGGTGAAGCTTTGAACTGAGTTATTGCTTTGAAAGCAAACAACACAAAACAAAGCGTCCGCAGATGTAGGACAGCGTGCTGCCCCTCTCCTGCAGCCAGATCAGCAGCCACTGCTGCATTTTAGTACAGGTCTTCCATGGCCCAATTTGTTAGTATTAGGAGTCCATAGAGATAATGTCCTTTCACATATAAAAGATGCTATTGATTTTCTGTTACCGTTGTCCTGAAATGTGCACAGTGTGTCTATGGAGCAGTGACAATCCTCCATCACTAGCTTTATGGGAAAAGAATGGTTATTGAATCTCTTCCCATAAAATATAATCTTTTTCTCTCTTCCAGAATTTGCCAACCCCTATGGGAGTCCCTCATGTTATCTCTTTGAGAAAATTGATTTTTTTGTCTCCTCTTTGTACAATTGTCTAGTTTTATTTTTAATTTGACTCATGTGATTTGGAAAGGAGACTTTGCTAACATTGTGTTGTTTTCTGTGTTGTATTAATTCTGCTTCTTATAGACTAACACTTTCAGAATGCTATAAAATAAAACAAAGCCATTTGCTTGGCACAAACCTCTCTTGTTGCTGGGAGTTCTTTAGTCTGGGTGAGTCATTGTCCTGCTCCTTCTTTCCAGGCGTGTCTGGCTGCTTTTCAGCTGCTTACAGGTAAAATTGGGGTAAGTTTCTAGAGTCAGCACAGGCTGCTCAGAGAATTTAGGGTAAACGATGTTAAAAGAGAACACAACTTGCAGTCCTGTCTGCTTGAGGAGCAATGGTCTTCAGACTCTAACAGTGGCAAAGATACTGTCAAAGTTGTCCTTTCCTCTGTCTAGCAGGTGACTAACTATGGGACTTTTTCCTTTCAGGAAGGAAACGGCAACATGAATTCATAGATGATGAGTAGGATGCCAAAGCCAGAGATGACAGTGCTCTTGAAGAAATGCTGGGTAGAACAAAAAGGTAAAAGAAACAGCTAATTGAGTGCATTTTGGAGCCTGTAGGACTTATGTTACCTTCCCTCATGAGGCAAATGACACATTCCCTCCAACCGTAGCTGAGTTTTGAGTTCCCACCTCCTCAATTTTGCATGAAGTTTTAGTGACACCTCACTCTTGACCTACTTTTCCTGAGCCAGGTTTTCCCCAAAGTTACGCTGTTCCATACCTACAAGTTCCCACCACTCACACGTGTGCCCTTGCATGAACGTTCTTGCAGATCCAGCAACTGTTTCATCCTACCCTGCAGGTGACACTGTCAAATTGCTCATGCTGGGTTGTTTGCTGCAGTATTTTGTGATGAGAACAAAAAAGAAATGAGATTAACTTGGCCAGTTAATTTGCATCCGGCGCTGTTCTCCTCAGGTGACCATGCAGTAATTGGCTGTTCTGACTTCTGACCTAAGCCTGGGCAGATACACGTGGTTAAAATGATTGAAATGTCTTGCAAGCAAGTTGCCTCCACAAAGAGTGAATTGCTTGCTGCTACTCTGATTGCTTTTGCTGTGTTTTGTGTTCATATTGGTGAGGTGCTCCCAAGTGCTTATTAGCTTATTAGCTTATTAGCACTTTGGTTCTGAGAAATTATAACCGAGGCATGATAGTCCGCTTAGGCTTTGGGAAGTGGATTTAATCACACCTGCACAGAGCCATGGAGTAGAAAGGCCTTGGTTATATTTCACCAGTGGCAGCAAAAGTGGTGGAAGGAACTGGCAGGGAACAAGAAAATCTTCAGTAGTAGGAAATGTATAGGAATGACTTAAAGAAACCATTTTCCACTAATAGCTCTTTGTGTTTTGAGCTGTGGTCGTAGCTGGAAGTAGGAGTTTGTATTCCCTACCAGCTCTTCCATCTCCAAAATGAGTCTCCAACTTATCTCTAGCAGAATAGCTGTATGAGAAGTTAATTTCTGCTGTGCCAATGAAAATATTAATTGGGCTCAATATTATGTTTTATTTTTGCCTCAATTTAGTGGAAATGCTTTCCCATTTTTGTCAATAAGTAGCTCTGGATGCTATAGGATGTGCTGAAGTCCTTGCTCTGTAGGAACAACAGCTGCTTCAGTTCCTTTAGTGCCAATGTAGTAGTCTGCCCTGTGCTGTTTGGGAAATGTAACCTATGCTTGAAATATATATAAACAATTTTATTGGGAATACTTTGTTTGTGGTTATAAGTGGTATAAGCTATTGTATGGTTGATATACACAACATCTAGTTTTTAATCTGATAACACCAGAGTTGAGAATTCAGGTGTTCTTAAAATATGAACAAGTAAATCACTGTTGTCATTCCATATTTTGGTAGATCTGATTGTTTTTTCCTTCTTTTTGTGCACGTGTGAATGTTAAGGCTGTTGGAATGTTATTCAGCTGTTTGTATGAACTCTGATGTGAATCTGTGATGTGCTTTGAGGTATGACATTCTTCACCATTGCTCTGTAACCCTTAATTGGAGCGTGGTCAGTGCTGATGTGTGCTGTGTCCGTGCTGCTTTCCCAGGGCTGTGACTGCAGGTTGCTCTGCTCCAGCCCCTGTGAAGCCAGCACCACAGCAGTCTGAGGCAAAGGTGAAGCAGGGGGTGGGGAGTTGTCTCTCAGTATCTGCTGTGCTTCTGACAAAGAGCACCGTATACAGGAACTTTCCTATTGATGCCATTAGACACTGGGTCAAGGAAATGCTCGGTGCTGCTGCTTTAAGGTGGCCAGTAGCCACTAGCTGTGTTCAGCATCGTCTCTGCCAGCTCTGGCATTGCTGCATGTGCTGTCAACTCAGCAGTGGCTGGAAGCTCAGATAGGACCAGATTTGGCATCAGAATAATCACTTCTACAGGCGTTGTGCTTTGGATGTTGCCAGCTCCTCACTTCTGCTGTTTCCCAGCACGTGGTGCATTATATGACCCTGAGGACAGACAGCCTGCCGGGTAGCCTATAGATTTTAGTTTGTTTTCTCCCCTCCATCTTGTTAGTATTCAGGTTTGCAGTTGGGGAGAACTGGGAAATATGCCTTCTATTTTGCTTACTCTCCTGCTTGCTGGGGCTGGTGACAGCAGTGGGAGATCACGCAGGTGGCACGGTTTGATAGAGGTGGTGAAGGAAGGTGCCTATCTGAGAAAGACCTGCGTGCAGGAGTTGAGAGCTGCATGCCTCCCCTCACCACTTGTGAGCATGCAAGACAAGAATGTGAGTCGCTTACATACTTGGATCGTAAAGTTCACTGTCATCACTCCTCCATAAGTGGTTTGTCAGACAAAATCTTTGTCATTGCATTTGAAGACCTCACCCTCACTGTCACAGGAGGTTGGAGGAGGAGCAGATAGAATCCTTCCATTTTTGGAGTGTTCAGTTTCATGGGCTTGTCAATTTTGAAATTGTAAATTACTGAGTATTAATAATCTGCCACACAACTTGTCTACTTCCAACTGATTTCATCCTTACTAAGGATACTTTTTTTTTTAAGAGTAAAGCAGGTAACTGTTAGAAAGCAAAGGCGTAGCAGAAATGTTAAGTCATGGCCTGAAGCAGCATGGAGCACCTGGTGGGAAGGCAGGACCAGCCCAGGGTTGCTGAGGTGCATGCAATATATTTGAGTAACTGGAAGGGGGGAGCCAGGATCCTCCCCTTCCCAGCCCTCATTTAAGGGTTGGCAGTGGAGGTGAGAGCATCTCTTCCTGGAGATCCCGGTGTACCTGAGGCCTTCCAAAGGTAAGCAGCTTTATTCCCTTTCTTTCTGCATCCATGGCTGCTGCACTTAGGCTTGTCCTTACTTGCTGCAGCCTGGGACTCTGCTACCCCTCTGTCATTGCTGTTTTCCATCACATTATAGAGTTACAAAAGGAGTGGATTATTTTTCTCTTTGCTTGTTCTAAGACAGATAACACAGGATTTCCTGTAATAGATGATGTGTATGCGCCCTCGTGCACTGCTTTATGGGGTTGGTGTGGCTAATGACTTGTGTGTAATCAGAAAATAAGAGCTTTTGCAGAGTTAATACACAAGCAAAAAAAAAAAGTACAAATGATGATCTAGAACATATTTCTTCAAATGCCATTGCACCTGGTGAGGGATGAAGAGTGTTCTCAGCATTTCTTAATCACCATTGTCTGTAAAAAACATACCTCTAGTGGGAATACCTATATGGCCTGAATGAAACAGAATGAGAATCTCAATAGAAGTCTGTGGAAAAAACCTATGATTTAGCCCTATAAGAAATAGCTCCACAAATCTAGTTCAGTAAGGACAGAGTTCCAGTGTGCTCTGTTTTCTCACAGAAGTGAGCACTTTGGGATTAATTAAATGCTTTTTGTTCTCTACTGCAGTGTAACCTTTCTTTTACTCCTTTTAGGGCTCACACCATGTGAAAAGTCAAATATGCTGCCTGAAGGCAAAGGTTTGGGGTAAAATTATGTACGTTCATGAGACCAGAGAGATGTGATGTTTGTCATTGCAAAGCATGGCCCACAAGACTGGCAGAGCTCAAGCACACAAGTGCTGTCCAGCTGCAGCTGTGAAGGAAGGAGGATGCTCACGTGTCCATCTCAGTCCTGAGGGCTGCAGTGGATTGCAGTGTTGTGCCAGGAGCTTCCTGCTGCCTCACGTGCTTTGCTTAGATTGTTTCCAGGTAGCCACTGCGTGCCGGCAGTCCTGCCTTCGTATTGTTTGTGTAAAACGCAGTTGTTTGGATTGTGGTGGATTCTTGAGGTTAAGGGTATAATTTCATCCCCCAGATTTTGACCCGAGCTGTAAGGTTTTAGTGCTGAATACACCATGAGTAAATGCAGCCTTTGGGCTATGCTTAAATTCACAGCAGATGTAGCAGGTCCAGACCTGAAGTGTGCTCTTCAGGCTCATGGTCCAGGTGTCCACCTGTTTTCATTACTGTGCTAATTAATGTGATAAAATCTGCTCACTTTTTGCATTTTTCAGTTGATTTTTGCAGTCTATTATCTCACAGATTAATTTATAGTTTTAGTATCTTATTTTCCTGCTTTTTCTTTAAAGCAAGAGAGATGTCAAAATCAAATGGTGAAATACTGGGGCACGGGTTGTGCTGCTTAATCAGAGATGGAAGTGGAAAGATGTCATTCCAAGAAGAAAAGCTAATTCTAATACTAATGGTTCTATTACCAGATTAAAAAAGAATAAATTTTATGCATAATCCTTTTCTTGAGGAGCACTTGTTAATTTTAGGTGTGTTCCCTTTCTGAGGAGCTGGTGGAAGTTGCCTTAAAGCTGATTCTGTGGTCCCTACAGGTGGTTGGTAGCATCTGATCCATGGCTGGTGCTGTAGCATTGCTTGGTGTTGGTGTTGCCATTGCAGTGGGAATGAGAAAGTTGTGGTCAGTTGGAGCAAGCTGTGAAATGTGCATGGCAGGCTTTTCTGCAGAGGTAAGCAGGGTAAAGAGAAGGCAGTGGCCATCATGTGGTGGAGGATATGCTGACGTGTGTGTTTGGAGCACGTGTGCTATTTCCCTTACAAACAGTCCTTTAGGTAAATGTTAAATACAGAATGACACTGTCCAAAAAAAAAAAAAAGATAGTGCATATCACTTAGCACTGATAAGGTTCACAGACTTCATAAGGTGTTTTCACTTCTTAGTTCAATAAAAAGCACTGTCTGTGGAGGGATATCCAGGGGTATCCTGTCCTTGCCCAGCAGTTCTGACAGCATTCCTAGTTTTACCCCCATGCTGTCTTGAGCTGAGATACTTTATATAACATGGGACTCTATCAATAACTGGGAGGTTTTGTGCCCTGAGGCTCCAGACGGGCACCAGGCGATTCAAGCAGCTGTGCTGCCATAGCGCTGCTGTCAGCAGGCCCCAGTCGATTCTGGTTTGTGATACTGGAATTGTGCTTCCATTTGGTTTATCTATTCATAAACAAACATTTATTGTAAGGGAAGTTCCTTCTCATTGTGAATTTATAGCATGGCAGAATCCCAGTCTTGGCTGAGTCCCTTAAAGAAAT